TTTTTTCTTTTATTTTATATTATATTCCTCTATATTATTTTGTTAATTATCAATTATGTATATCTATGTATAATTATGTATAAATTTGACAGGAATATGTAATCATATCATATTTATAATTTATGTTTACTTAATAAAATTATACCTAAATTATTATTATTATCAATATAATTGTTGTTTGCGTTTTAAAAAGAATTTAAATTTTAAGTTAAAAAAAAAAGATTTAAATTTAGTGATTTAAAATTCCAGAGGCCAAACGTCCTATGGGTAGATATAAATCTATATAACTGCCGGGGGCCAAATGTCCTATCTTAATAATAGACGGGGACAAAACGTCCGTGGACTTGTTTTTTGACGGGGACGAATTGGCGGGGGGCGAATTGTCCTTTTACCATAAAAAAGGCCCCCCTGTTTAAGTACAATTAGGGGCCTTGATATATTTGTTCAATACATTTTAAAGGTGTYCAATTGGCGATCGCCGTCTCGCGGACCTGGCCAGGCCATCACTAAACACGGGTTGCTGTATATTTTTAAATAAACATAAATAAGAAATGATAAAATTTCAAAAAATCGCGGGAATACAAAACGGTGAGAGATCGWATATTAAGTATACAGCTGATTGTCTTCGTGGTTTTTAGTTGTATCTATCCGTATCCAGTACCTACTTAAATTCATGTTTTAAATAGCAAAAAATACGTCTTACTCTGACACACTTCATCGCATAGGTATCATATTATATTTTTTAATGTTAAGACTTATTCGGTACTGAGTTTAAAATTATAGAGATCAGCACATAGTGATAGTGTGATTGAACATTCAACTGTTACAACAATGAGTATACCGGTATTTAAGCCTGTGACTCACGCCATTTTTGATTTGGACGGAACTCTTATAGGTAAGTAAAATATACATGTTTATACATTTAAATTTYACATTATTATGTAGAATTATTTTATAAACCTATATTTAATATTTTATTTTATTTTATTTGTAATAAGTTAATTAACAGCCTATTATACATAAATCATATATGTATTGACTTATATAAATTATAAATATATATTACATTAATAATTAGGAACACTAATAATTATAATAGAGTAGAATCTGCAGTAGTTTAATGTTAAATATTAGTATTATAATACGGTATGTTGAATATAGGTATATTGGTATATACTATAAATGCTAAATTGTATGCATAATAATAGTATATATTATGTATATAACGATAACGAATATAACAATACTCGTGTAATATTAAATATTATTGCGTGATTAATAAAAAGTAAATTTTTGAATACGTACGAGTTCGGGATCACTTACCACACATATATTTACAAGCAGTAGCGTACGCAGGATTTTAGTTCGGTTAGGGTTTTACATGAGTAAATAATTTTAGTAACAATAAACAATTTAAATAATTTGTTTAACAGTTTTTATATAATTAGTTACCTATAAGGCTATAAGTTATAACAAATTATAATTAATAATGAATTAACAATTTAATTTATATTAAGAATAACCAACAATTGATCGACTGTGTATTCAAATGGTGGTAAATAAGATATTTTTTGTAAAATGAACAAATTTCKGCGGTGGTCAGAACCCTAGAATCCTACCCCTGCGTACGGCACTGTTTATAAGATCCACATGCATACAGTTTGAAAATTGCCTATTTTGTACTCTTTAAAAACTGTTTATTTGTAATCT